TATTCATATAGGTTTACATACACGCATACATACACACATACAAATAGCTTGTTGCTTTTAGAGTAGAATGGGAGTGAAAACAGAACAGAAAAAAAAATCATCAGAGGACGAATCTTTTGAAGAGGAATTTTTAATTTGTGTTCGTCTGTTGTTGGGCTCATCGAGTGTGTAAAAAACAAACTTTACATCACAGAATTTTTCAACAGATTCTTTTCAACCCATAATTGCCCGGCGCACTTCCGTGGCGATGGACTAACGCGTTATTACATAATAATACATCAACAAAGCCGCTCCTGCACCGTCGCCGTCTTATTGTACGATAAACATATTATTAAATTATTACATAGGATTCCATGGACGATACACGAATACAATGTTATTGATGGTGTGACTCGGCAGTTGGTCGGCGTAAATTCGAAATTGTAAATAATAAACCGCATGACGGTTTTTTCGATAAATTTTGATTTTAATCGATTACAAAATCTTAATATCAACAATAATATGTTAAGTAAGTTGAGATTTTTACGAAAAAATGAATATTCTATTTTGGGAGCTTGAGCTCTGCACTCCTCCTGATCATCGACTATGCTTTTTCTGTAATACGTACGATCACAGATACCACTACTATATACTAGGTAAGTGGTGTAATAATATTATGAATTGATCATTTTGGTCAAATATTGTATTAGAACTATAGCCAGCCGTTAAACAGTTTTGTGTATGAGCGAATATAATAATTGCATACTACCTATTCATTTCAAGCAAAAACAATGACATAGAAATATTAGGAAATAAAAATACGACGATATAATAAAAGGTTTAGTCTGATTTAAGAGTTGGTATCAATTAAAAACGCATCATATTATGGATCTGTTCATTATAATGAACTAGCATAATACAATGACCCGACATTAATTTGATAACGAGAAAATAATACTTAAATAAGATTATAAGACCATACTATCTAAATATCTCGAAATTGTACTAATTCGGATTTTTTTAGAGATATCCTGTATTTTTATAAATAAGATAGATTGTGATTTTGTCAACTGTATAATGCATGTAAGTAATTTATAATATAACACATATGGCGTACAATATGTCCGTGTACATGGTTTAGAAAATATTTTTAAAATGAAAATGTTTGTGATGACAAAAAAAATGTGGTATTCTCAAAGGTAGGATTGAATTCTGCTTGCATACTTGGTTTAAATTGCACTGAAACCCATTTTTTTTTTTCAAAACAAGTACCTGTCACAGTTAAAAAGAATGAGGGGGTGCAGACCAACATCTAAATCGCACCCCTCCACACAATTATGCCATTGTACAGCCGTACTGCGGTGTCATCTGAATTCTGTTTCACCGAAAACCACGATCGCCGTAGATTTCGTAACGTAACATGTTTTAAAAGACCTTGAAGTGTACACAAGATAATGGTGCCTTCCGAGTGTATCGTCAGTTGTACGAGTAGATCCTAATCGAAGGGGAAAGGGTGTGCTGTTTTTAAGACTTTAAAGCTAAAAAACAATTTCAATCGGTCAATTTCATTTTTATAAAACCGTGGTCCAAACTTCAATCGAAACATCTATATATATTTTTTATCTTATGACCCGACCCGAAGAATATTAGACCCATGATCACTTCCACGCTACTTGTACTACTTGTACTACTTGTAGGTTAATTTATAACCTACCCTCAACTTCGTATCGTCGTGCAATCAACGACGATATCGTACAAAATAGGAATAATATTAGCAGATATGATATTGTTGTAGTTTAAAGGCTGGTGCGTGTGTAGATAGTAAACGTGTGCCCAAACTCGCTAAATATAAATATTATACGTATTATATGTATATATATATATATATACGTATCGAATTAACACGCCGTTTGCAAGCACGTTCGCAGTTCGCGGGGAACGCGTTTGTAATACGCAGTGATTAAACACAAAACGAAAAAAAAAAATTAAAAAACATGGTCGTTGGTCTTTTTTTCCGTTTTCACATAATATTACACACGCTCAGATTATTCGGTCGCCCTGTCGTTTGCGCATTCTCACTCTTTCTCTCCCCGTATGTGTATACATCTCTCTGCCTCGCTCTGTTTCTGTGTGTGTGTTTGTCTCTCTCTCTCACTCTCTATTTGTCTCTATTTTTTTTTTTTTGTTCAAAACGTTAAAATAATAAAACACATGCACTCACACGTGGGTATTGCACACGACGAGTGCGATGTTACAGTGTGATGGCGGTGCGTGCAATCACGACGAGGAAACAGCCGACGAAAATGTTATAAAAAAAAAAAAAATGCTAGCAGAAAAAAGGATAACACGAAATCGCTGATAGTATATTGCCGTAATTATTACTACTATGCGAAGCCATAATATTTCAAAATCTCCACTATGGTATTGTAGATCGTTTTTGTTTTATTTTAAAACAAATAAATTATATGTACAGCTATATAGGGAACACGTTTAGCTCCGACAGTCCGCGCTTCCATCACCACGTCTAAACATTTGCAAATAATGTCTAATTTTTTTTTCTGCAGGAGATTGTATTAGTTTATTTTATCAATGTTGTGTGCAAGTAATTTTGTAATGCGACTATATGAAAAGTCCACGAGCCACCCAAAATAACATTATTTAACAAACATTTTCTTAACATTTGGTAAGTAATTTGTAAATCCTTATAAGTTTAGCCAAAATAGATGATTCACAAAACTTTAAGCCTTAGCTATTTTACAGGTAGAATAAAATTTTTTTTAATTGAAATTTTTTATCTCTTTAAATGTTATGTTATGGAGGACTGGGACCACTATAGTTTCTTTCGTTTATGTGGATATATTTTATATTTAGACGAAACAGTTAAGCGGCGCGACTCCAATAAGAGTGGTACAATATAATTATTATAAATACTCATAATAATTGATTAATGTTTAATCATTTTTAGTTTATTGCTGCGAAGTGTATACAAGCTGCAATCAGCAGATAAAAAGACCATTCGAGAATTTTGAAAACTCGAGAATACCTCGGAGAGCCTCTCTAAGTAGAGCCAGATTATTGTCACAAGCGACAATGATCATTGATTTTTTTTTCGTTTCAACACATTTTAGTGTTTCACCTCATATTTAAAATAGTATCATTTCGGATGCAATTATAATATATATATATATATAAATTATTGTAATTTAATTAATTATTAATTATTAATACAATATAAAATATATTTTCTTCAAAACATTTACCGCTGATGCTTCGTTTATTGCGGACCGTCATAAATAATATAAATCACGGCCGGTATAGGCCTGTGGAACAGTAAAATCTGGGGGTAAATTAATATCCTAATACAATTCAGAATACCAGATTAACTACTCACGGTACCTACACTGTCTGGTCTTGAAAGAAAATATGTAAACGCGGCCTCTTAAATAATTCATGTTATGTTTTATGTACAGCTGCATAAAAAAATAATCGTTGCGCAAAAAATGTTTCAAAGTTTTCAAAGTCACAGTGAAAACAAACGTCAAAACGATCACCCTGTGTACAATGCACCCTCGGCGGGCTATAAGGGTGCCCACTCTTACCCACTTCTCATCTACAACGTACGAAGGACGTCTCTGTACCGGTGCTATACCGTTTACAGTGTAGCGGTGTACAGTATAGTTGGTCTTTTTATTGTCGCCGTCGTTGTATTATTATTATTATTTTTTTTTTTTAATTAAACCGGCGGCGTCGTCGTCGTCGTCGTCGTCATCGTCGTCGTCATAGTCATCGAGCAGGGGGCAGGCAATGGACGGCTGCAGTGCGCGCGAATTAAACGGCCGCACGAAATTAATTTTTGGTCTTTTTTTTTAGTTTTTATTGCTTTTCTCTTTATAATCACTGCGGCGCTGTGTATAATGTATATGTATATATTATAATCACGGTACGACGGAATTTTAACGTTTTCGATTCCAAACGAAACGCTTGACAAAATGAGCAATAATAATACGATAGTATAATAGCGATCTCTTTTCCGTATACGTCCGCAACGACGCATCGAGAAAATCAATTTAATACGATGATAATATTAAATAATTTTAATACATACATTCATTACTGTATTCGACGATAATAATAAGATCGATTTGGTAATAATAATATTTGTTTCGTATTGTAAAACCTACCGAATAGTATCTGGTTAAACGGACAAAAACGTGTCATGTTTGAGCAGGTGGTTTTAAACATAATAATATGTACTTATCCAATTACTTATATCAGTTGTGTAGTATGATGTATACATGCACTTTATTTTATGCTCAGTATTTGTACATAATAATAATTAATATGTACCAGTAACTTAGTTCAATAGTTACTATATTGTTATTATAACTCACTGTGCACACCATTTATTATTATATCAATAGTGTGTACCCCTTGCGAAAAATTCTACCTACTTCAAATGATTTATTTACGAAATATTAATGTTATATTATTGACTTCAGAGAACATGTATAACATAAATATACGAACCATTGTAAAACAAAAACTTAAATCTAAACTAAAAATATATCAATAACGTTATCCCGAGCGGCTGTACATAGTATAGTAACTCCGTTGGGTCACTCCGACTTAAGTACAATAAGGGTCCGGTACAAGAACCTGGTATCTTTATACTTTTTTTCGACAGTATTGTTTTCTGGTAAAGAATAATCTCGGTTCAATAACCGGGTATATCTCCGTCCGTTGGCAGCTATAATATCATACAAATATGATGATGATAAAATATGTCTGGCATACAGAGGTCGGTGGTTATACAAGGTAGTGTGTTATGACTCCTGTAGAATAATGAAATAGAATTGGACATAGCCGCGGTCCTCGTACCAGCGGCTTCAATATATTATTATTGTTCAGCATAAGCCTCTAAAAAATCATGCCCACCCTTGTTCTGTTTTAATTGTGTAGTATAATTATTACTGTAGAAAATAATGCATCCACAACCGTGGTATAGGTAGTGGTATACTCACGTAGTGTTGTCGGTTGGCGGCCACGTACGACGTGCACCACTGTTTTGGCTGTACAGTCAAGTACCGTCTGCCGGACGCGGTCGGATCGCCACCGAAATCGCCAAACTCCTCGGCCGCGACATCGTCATCTTCATCGGCACCTCCTCCGTCGTCGTGGTTGTAGTCAACCCCGTACACGATACCGTTTCCGTTACTTCCGGATCTCTGGAAGGGCCACTGCCGATTGGCATGCATCATCTTCCGGCTACGATGCGTAAGCGACGAACGGTCGAATGTTATTGAATAATAATAATAATATTATTATTGTTTTGTGCTCGGTAAAATCTCGATATTGGACACGTGCTAGAATATCGATATCGATATAAGTAGCTCAATGATGTGTGAGACCACTGCCTTTGCTGTAATCCTACAGGCCGCCGAGGAGACGTCGAGGTGTGCGAAATACAGCAGTATAATGATAACAATATTCGTGGCGGCCGATACTGGTCTGCAGGTCAGCTGAAATATAAAAATAGAAAAGAAACGAGTCAGTAAACATCACGATAATACCTCATTATATCTATATTATTTGGTACACGTAGGTGTTATGTGATGAAACAATTTTACGTTCCATTTTATAAGATAACCGTTATTTTTATTGAAAAGCCATAATAGTAATGATAATGTCTTATTAATAGGTAATCAAAATCCAACGGACAAGAAACCTTAAGATGTACAACTTTTAAATTGTTTGGAACATCAAGGTCACATATAGGTTAGGTATATTATATATTTATATTGGTATACGTATTACCAACTGCGTATTGCTTGGGTAATGCTTGGATGATGTACACGACATAGATATTTTACTGGAAACTAGTGTGCAATATTAAATAAAAGTGTTGAAATACATTTTTAGATACAACACTCGGGGCACTGCAGGTAAATATACGATAAATTCCAATAACATAATGCACAATCAATCGTGTAACGATAATAGATCGGTTGGAAAAAAAATACAAGTCCACTGAAAAAAATCGCGATCCGGCCCCCCGGACACACGGTGGTCAAAACAAAAAATAATTACGAACGACTCTCCACCCCTATATGGGTAGCCTGTGCGGTGCTGCGGCTAAAAGTCTGCCTCGGGGTGCACTCGAGCCGCTAAATTGTCTACGTAATCGCTACCTCTTCATATCATCATTATTATTATTATTAGAATGGACATCGTTGGACCCAATAACGCAATAGCTATAGCACTATTCCGCCGGAAAACACATGAATTGTCAGTATCACTGCAACGATAACACGACGATTTACCTCCATACGTGAGTGTGTGTGTGTGCGTGCGCCGCTACTCGATATGGTGTTTGGCCATTTTTTTTCACCCCCACCGCGGCCTCCCCGGGTGGTCGGAATGTTTGATTAAAAAAAATAATGTATATATATATATATATATATATATATATATATATTAGACCTTTACACGTACATATATACAGAAAATACCGCGACTGGCGAAACGGTAGACGGGTCGGGCGTGTAACTCGCAGTCCGCGGCCGCCCGACGATAAAACGCCCGCGTTCGTATTATTGCGCCGTGCTGTACGGACCATTGAATTCTCCATTCATTCCGCGTGCATCATCAGTCCGACCGAACACCTCCACTCGTTTCCCGGGGTGAGTATATAATATATTATATGCGCTGATTTTTTTTTTTTTTTTTTTTTTTTTTTTTTTTTGTACCGAAAACGACTTATTAATTTTGTATATACACACCGATTACGGAAAAGTCCGTAAAAAAAAAAAAATTTTAAAAAGAAATAATGATCGTGTTTTTATTATGCGTCTGTAACAATACCTACGTGCCAAAATTATTATTACGAACATCTATAGTATATAATATTATGCATACCATATGGGCTACGGGGCGTAAAATCGAAATTTTCAATTTTTAATACCGCTATCCATATCGATTTTTCCAATACAAATTCGAAATAATATGATTTTGATTTTATAATAATAAATCGTATGATTTCCATGCCGATTCAAGTTATTGTTCTTGATTTTTAATCCGATTTTAAAAATAATTTCCATCCTTTTTTCGCTTTAAAATTGATACTTTTACATCTTCACTTAATTTTTTTTCTACCTACGATCGTTCTGGGTTCACGTATAGAATATTATACGGACTTCTTGGCTTTTACTTTTTGATGAAATTAAAATTAATTTCATTTAATTTAAAATTGTTGAACTAATTTTACTGAAAACATCGCATATCTTTGTGTACAGTTTTATATTACAACTAGTGCCATGCAGTGTGTGGACATAATGAAGTCAAATAGGTCAGCATGTAGTTGTCAAGTCGATACACTACTATAAAGACATGCTATAGAAACATAGAATACACACATCTCATGGACCTATCAGCGAATGAGTGTAAACTAATTCCAAAAGAAGGTCTTTTTGGGTGGATCATACAGGTCGTCTGCCAGGGTAGTCATCACATTATCTTTGTTTGTTTATTACTGTTATTATAGCTATTAAAACCATAGTTAGGTTATTTCAAAATATAACAACTTGAAAATATAACACATGATTAACACTGATCTTAATCTTCTTGCAATGGAATTTAAAATATATATGTATATATTCAAAGCATAATTTCTCATCATTAATTTTAGGGACAAAAATATGTTCAACCAACTGAAGAATTACAATATCGGACATATAAACTAGTATTAATACTATAGATTAACAACATGTATAAAATACAGTTGTAAATTAAAAACGATACAATATTCATTCAGAAACATTTTTCGTGTGCAATTATTTATCATTAAATCTAAATGTAATCCATTAAAAAAATACCAAAACATATTGCAATTTATTAGATATTGCTTTTCACAGCTTTTTTACTGTTCACATTATATTCACGTTAAACCACATTCATAAATTATTGACAATTGCTTGAACTATATTAATATTATATGTTCGTTATTAAAATGTACTAAAAACGGTGAGTTATTAAATGCTACTAAATAAGCATATACAATCTAAAACTAGTAAGTAGTAACCACCATATTATGGGTTCCCTGTTTGAAAAAACTGTCTGCGAGAAAAGAAAAAAGGAAAGACCAGCGTGTGTGTACAAAAATATTTTATATATATGTTAAAAGTATTCGAAATCATAAAAAACAATCCGTCGAAAACCACGGACATATTTACCGAGAAAACTGTATGATGTCTTAAATATTATAAAATTCCTTTTGTACATGAATACGCAGCATATACAATGTATGGCCTGCAGCTGGTATAATATAATATTATGGCAACGACGACGGTGCACATAACGCCGCTGTTATACCGTGCTTTCGTACATAACATTATAATATTATTATTGTTGTGTGTGCAGCAATAATTATTATACAGTTTGTGTGTGTTTTTTTAAGCGCATGTAACACGATAATCCGCCAAATGTTTTTCCTATAGACGGCATGCCGAGTGCCACCCCACCACCTTACACGCGACTCCGCCGACAACGGTACAAATATTATTCACTTACACGATCACAAGACGTGTCTGCTCCTCGTTAAGCGATAATATATATTTAAGACAAACACAAACATAATATATTATTACACACACACACACACACACACACACACACACACACACACACACACACACACACACACACGCACGCACGCACAACGTTATACTCGAGGGTGAACAACGCCGCTCATGTTTGTGCGTCCACGACAGTATCGTAAATCATTTCATCGTAACACCTGCGGATGATGATTATAGTATTATGTGTGCCTATTAAATGCGAACGATTTTGTTTTTGAATAATCTTGCTTTGAAAACGAATTAGTGCCGTTATTAAACCGCCTCCCGAGAAATGCTAATTATAATTAAGAATGAATTCGGTGGGGTTTTGTTTTGCCCACTGTGCATCTCATGGGTTGATATTTTTATGTTACACTTCAAACGGAGTCGAGAGACAAATCTTTATTGTTTCTACAGTGGTGATGTTTTTTTTTTTTTTTTTTACTTTTCGATAAACCATTTTTCATCGCACGCGTACACGTAACATATGCTCTTGATCGCAAGTTCTACATGGGATGTATAAATCAAATTGTATATGTATTTTTCAACTACACAAGATCGTTTGTAATAAATTCGTCGAGAGTTCATATCATTTTTTTTTGTAATTTGAACAAGGTTAATGTGTGTAATCAGCTTTGCCTATGTTTATAAATAAAAGTTTAACCATGTGTTGCAAGTACTTATAATATCTATATTATTCATCGTGACGAATATTTTTCCATTAAGTTCCATAAACTAATCTGTTTCTAAATCGTCGACAATTGTTTACAATATTACAAGTCGTAAATTGTAAATTTGTAATTATCGTCTATGAGTTTAATTATCTGCATAACATGTTTTACTCAATATTATATTATTAAAATTCCATTCAATTTGAAATTTAAAGTATATAAGTAACATGTAATTTTGTTATTAAAATAAAATAAATATATATTTAATGTAAAATCATAACACTTATGTAGTCTTACACAGGGTTAATTCAGCCATTTTGAATTTTCGTATAACCTCAAGTCTTCTTTTGATTTAATTTGCCAATGTTATGTCTTTTTTTAATTGTTACTAAATTATTATACACTTGTATACCTAAATACTACATAAATATGTGTTTTTTTAATACACATCGAATGAAATGATTATTATACATTTATACCTAAATTATGATAAATAAATACATAAAACCGTTATGAGCCATAACTTATAAAATATTATACTCATATAATAGTGATGATATAGGTATTTTATTATAATGTTGTCCTTATTATTTCAAAAAGTGTCATATCCATTGGATTTTTCATACGAAAATAAGTATGAATCGTCTGAGTTTACTCGTTGAGTAGCATAACAGAGCACGCATCAATTAAAAATATTATAATCCTTAACAGTAAACTTAAAAATTACAAAAATCAGTTTATTAGAAGATGCATTAAAAAAAAACTGCAGCGAGCACGCTCGGTGAATTTCCCTGTATAATACCTTCAGCACCATTATACCAATATAAATGTATTTTACAATGATTCCGAAATTTATTTTAAATTCAAACAGTACACGAATCGCGGAGCGCGCGCGTTTCGAAATCCAATTTCCTCCTAGGTATTGACTGCTGTAATGCGTTATGTGGACAATTTAAAATGCAATTATATTTTTCATTTTCTCGATGGCGATGGCATTAAAAAATAAAGAAATACAACCGTTTCACGCTGTAATAATAACAATAAGAGGATCAACTATTGTTTTCGATTTTTGCGCATGAAGAGAGGAAGGAGCGAGAGCATTAAAAAGTGAACGAATGGAAAAATATTTCGAATATTTTCGAGGGGAAACAACGATCGTTCGATCGTCATCATTATACCTGTATTGTATACACCAATACCGGCTTATTTGCTTCCGTCACAAAGTCAACAGATCCA